AGGGGATGATCGCACAGCTTTGTTGTGAAATGGTCAAGCACCCTCGAGGCAGCTACACAGTGCTTACAACTGTCTCCGTCAGTGAAGCACCAGAAAATGAATTTAGTCACACGCAACTGTCATCCGTACGCAAGGAAGTAAGCACAAGATGTCGAACACCCTTNGATATTATTTACTCCGGTGTTTTTTTGGCGGTAACCATACTGGTGGTCGAGTAGATCATGTTGTGGGGGGTGGAGAACCCTCACTCCGCGCAAGGGGGATGATCGCACCACGTTGTGTTGAAATGGTCAAGCACCCTCGAGGCAGTCACGCAGTGCTTACAACTGTCGCTGTCAGTGAAAGCACCAGAATATGAATTAAGTCATACGCAACTGTCATCCGTACGCAAGGAAGTAAGCACAAGATGCCGAACACCCTTAGCAGGATGCAGCGCACCCTTCATGCGACTCGCCGAATATCTCACGGCCCTTCACGCTTGGTGATGTGAGAGCCTGGTCCGGTGAGAACCCGGTGTGCTCCGTGCCGGCTTTGTAGGGATGCGAGGTCAATGATCTAACGACTACGGCATGCACGACTATGAGTACACCCCCCTCCCACCCCCTACGGTCCTTGCGATGTAGTGTTGTTCTTTTCGCAAGCAGGGTTAAGCCCTCTCTATCCCTCGTTGACCGCGTACGTACATACTGTTGTTTGCCGAAGGTTGGTGTTGTATGGAGGTTGTGCGACACTGGGATCTACCGCGAACACCGCGACGGGGAAACCTTGTACGTCCTCGAGATGGACGCCCTCCACGCAACCGGCTGCAAATACCGAAGTACATTGTACGGGAGGAAGTGTACGTTCTAGTCTAGAGGGCAACCACCGTTTTGTAGTCGCTGAGATATCATGAAAGACAGCATGCTGTGGACGAAACTGCTTCCATCGGCGAAGTACGGCCGCGGCGCGTACATCAGTATTTTTCGCGTTGCTTTCATTTATATTCTCTCTAGACTATTATAGAGAAGATGAAAACAAGGCGGCCCTGTTCCCCCTCTCCCCCAACGGATGTATGTATGCTGTTCCAAGGTTGGCAACGAATATTCGAATTGGTTTGCACCCATATTCGTTGTATGGCACAAGAAGAGGAACATTGTTGACCGAGTGAGCCAGGAAGTAAAACGTATTCGACGTCCTGGTGTGTAGACTAGTCGAAGACGCCAGTTGGTCGAGAACAAGGGAAGGAAGCGTTTCACTGCATGCCAACTTACAGTTTTGAAACGCCACCAAGTTGCACGCGGCACGGCTTGTTCCCCCGCTCTCCGCCGCAAGCACACGCACAATCCTCTGGAGGGCGTATCAGAAACGAATCGGGTCGTCTCTCCTCCCCCTCTTGTGTGCCCATCGCGTGCGAAGAGAAGGAGCGCGATAGGAGCAAGCGACTGACGCCCGGCCACGTGGCTGGACACCACTTTGTGAGCAAGGTAGGAACTTCGCCGCCCGCACGGCTGCAGCTCTCCTTCTCTCTCTCTCTCTCTCTCTCTCCTTGTACGTGAACAAAATCTAGCCGCGATTGGCATTCCGTCTGTCTCGCCATCCGGTTCAAGAGCCGGCGCCCACGCTCACAGCACCATGTCTGATCACAACCGAAAGTGCTCCATAGAACCAGGGGGTACAGATTCACGAGCTGAGCGTAGACCCAGCTCATCAGGCTTCTCGTACTGACAGAAGGGTTGAAGGTTGCAAGATTGCACAGCAGACTCGCCGGCACAGCAGACTGGCCGGCACAGCAAACTGGTCGTGACCGTCTTTCGTCTCTCGATGCGGGGTAATTTCGGCGCGTGTTCGTTGCACATGTTGGTCGCGCTCCACATAGGAGCACACCGTTGCCGTAATCGATCTCAAGGATTTGCATACCCCCTCTGTCTCCTCTCCCTTGATGTACTTCACTCAGCGGCGCTGGAAACGGGACCGTCGCAATTTGACTATTGGTTTGGCAAGATCCACCAGTAGTGGTAGTCCGTGCTGCCACCTTGGTACAGTTAGTACAGAGGCCTACGGCGCGGCGGTAGTACTGAGACTTCAGGCTACTGAGGCTCCCGGCTCATGCTATGCCAGCGGAAGCCGCTTGTCTGTCGACCCGCCTGAGTCAGTATATTTCGTAACCGTTGGACACAGGAAAGACAATATTGGTGGGGGGAAAAAGTGGCTGCGCACCACCTGTTGTTTGCTTGCCCTGCTGACAGCTGTGTGAACTTTTCGTGATAACCAACGAGACCTTCGAACGGGGTCGTAGTTATCTCAACGGGATCTGTGACTCTCAGTGATTGACTGCTGTGATTTTTGCAAGAACCACGTTCGTAGTGGGTGCATGTGTACATGGCCTACAAAATAGTGTCATTCCACATTCATTCATTCCACATTCCACATTCCACATCAACCGTAGAGTAGTTCTGACTTTTCCGTTGCGCTATGCATATTTTCCTCCGATTTACTCCCTTCCCAGAGCTGGGCGTGTGCTCTCCCGTCTCGGCGCTACTACCGTCGAGATAGTGGCAGTCCGCGTGTTGTTGGCTGCCGCGAATATCGCGGGAATCAGCTTCGCGGGCAAATCGCCCCACTGGGTTCCCATCTGGCCTTCACTTTCGGGCATAGTCTAGACTAGTACCAGAGGGTGCGTCTTGTTTGAGCGCCGCAAAAACTGCTGGGAAGCAACATTTTTTGTTTGTTTTTCTCCCATCGTTGGACTCTGTCGTCTGCCCCTCTGGCCCCCATCCTCCACTTCTACCAGCTAGACGACCCAACCGGGGTCACATTGGAGGGGGTGGTTGGACCCCCTCCTGCGGTTCCTGCCTGAGACGTTTGTATCGCGAGAAGGGTACAGCAATCCCCTCCCTCGCGACTTAGTCTATGAAGTCGCTCAAGTTTACTATCAAAGAGCTTTGCAGCGCGTCGAGTCCAACGCAGACCAGGATTTAATTGGAGCGAAAAATTGCACTCTGTCGGGACTCGAACCCATGCCCTGGCCCTTGCGAGGCTACCCACTAGACCGCCGGGGCGACCGGTGTTACATGTGGATTTGTGATAGTGGACAAAGCTACTGCTTGCTGTAGACTTTCTAGGTCTAGACTACTCTATAGATTAGATGTCACTACTTGCGTTTGAGCATCTGTCCGCTCGAATCAGCTGCGCCACTCCCGAGATACAGCGCCACAACCACCACCGTCGGTGGATACTGCAAGGTTGGCGTTTTGGCCGCTCCTGTTGCTAAGGATGGTCAGGTGTAAGGTGGACCCAGCGCAGGCGCAGAAGGCCATCGAAGCTGTCCGCAGCGGCGCAATGTCTCTCCGGGCTGCTGCACAGGCCTATGGCGTGAACAAGCGCTCTCTCTCTCGCCGGCTGAGCGGTGATGTAAGCATGGATGCAAAGGTTGGTCCAAGGACTGTGCTCACAGTCGAGGAGGAAAATTTTGTTGAAGATGCACTGCTGTACGCTGCTCGTCACTTCATCGGGATCGACCGGACCGCGCTGCAAGAACATGTGCGCCAGCTGTGCAACGACGGTTGGGATATCATGCAGCAGTCGGCCCGGGGCGATCATGGCTAGACGGCTTCTTCAAGAGGCATCCTGCGCTGTCTGAACGCAGCGCCCGCATCTATGAGGCCAACAGAATCATGAGTGACGACGAGACTCGCCTGCAGACGTTCTACAAGGACTTTGGCGAGTTCGTTGACAAGGAAAGGATCCCTGCCGATCACCTGTGGAACACAGATGAGACAGGTGAGGTCCTGAGGTGTTGCTGATGCATATAAGCAGTAGGCAAGGGCTACAGCAGTGCTGTAGTGCGCGGTGCAGCTGCGCGGCAACTTGCTAGCAGCAGGCGGAGTTGTGCCGATAGTTTTTTTCAGTGTGGACCGTTGGATCCGCCCTCTGCAACCCACACACCCCTGCAAGATCTATTCCACTACCGCTGTAGACTAGACTAAAACGCACGGTTGACATACACTACAGTAGCACATGCCCCCTCCCCTTTCCCCGGCGCTCACTGTGTTACCGTACGCTCGAAGTCACTCGAGTTATTGCAAGAGGGACGGCGGCATGAGGTGTGTGTTGGGGGTGAAACAGAAACCTATTCGGGTTTGGCTGTGTGTCGCACTCTAGCGCAAGTGTGCATGTGTTCGTATGCGACTGCGCCTCTTTTCTGATGTGATTATTCTCTATCGCCGACAGATGTAGCCGTAGTCTAGTCTCTTCACCCTTTGCCGATACCCCCTGGCTTACAATGCTGTCGTCCGCCTCCTCTGTAGAAATAGTACACAGACCTAGAGAGAGCGGTACCAGGTGCGCCCCGACCACCTTCCCTACGTGCAACGCCACCTCGGCTACGTACCTTTCCTGGTCCAACATATCTGTTTTGCAGGTAGCACTCCAGAAGACACCAAGACAATGAAGGTGATTGCGGAGGGCGGACAGAAAGTGGTCGGAGCGATGCGTTCAAACTCGAGAAAACGTGACGGTGGTGGTCACCATCAGCGCGGCGGGTGCCACCCTCGCCCCGTGGATCATCTACAAAGGGCAGCGTCTGCAAGCGGACTGGGTCAAAGGCAAAAACGGCCCTCCGAACGCGAGACTGGCAGTCACCGATTCCTCGTTCATGCAGGGGACCGCATTCGTCAACTACATTCGCGACTTTCACCGGCAGCTTCTCGACCGTGGCTTGATCAACGGTACGCCACACGTGCTCGTGCTTGATGGCCACGCCTCGCATGTCACCTACGAAGTTGTCAAATTGGCCAGGGACCTAAACATCGTCCTTTACCAGATACCGTCCCACTCGTCTCATGTTGTTCAGCCCTTGGACGTCGTGTCGTTTGGGTCATTCAAGCGGGAAATCACCAAGGTTCTCTCGGCCTTCCCGGCACGNCATTCGTCAACTACATTCGCGACTTTCACCGGCAGCTTCTCGACCGTGGCTTGATCAACGGTACGCCACACGTGCTCGTGCTTGATGGCCACGCCTCGCATGTCACCTACGAAGTTGTCAAATTGGCCAGGGACCTAAACATCGTCCTTTACCAGATACCGTCCCACTCGTCTCATGTTGTTCAGCCCTTGGACGTCGTGTCGTTTGGGTCATTCAAGCGGGAAATCACCAAGGTTCTCTCGGCCTTCCCGGCACGAAACGGCGGAAGGGTGCCCGCGAAGAGCGACATGTTGGGCATTCTTGGGGATGCTTGGTTGCGGAGCTTTTCCGAGGAACAGAACATATCATCCTTTGCAGGGGCAGGCCTTTGGCCGGTGGACGGGGAGCGGGCGATGGGTCGACTTCAAGATGTAGGGAAGAGGAAGCAACGATCAGGTGCCCGCCCGCCCGTCGAGGACATCACAGTGGCCATTTCCGACTAGGATCTTGCCGACAACCTCGGCCCACGAACGTTTCGCGAGCTGCAGCAAAAGGGCCAGTGCGTCAAGGGCATCCTTATCAACACGGTCATGCTCGGAGCCTTCGTCAAGGCGAAAAAGAAGCAGAAGAAGCTCGCCATCACCCGCAAGTCGCAAGGTCTCCCGGAAGGAGGGGTTATCACGTGCGATGACGTCATGCAAAAATACCTCGAGGACGAACGCCAGAAGGTGGAGGCCNGGGAAGAGGAAGGAACGATCAGGTGCCCGCCCGCCCGTCGAGGACATCACAGTGGCGATTTCCGACAAGGATCTTGCCGACAACCTCGGCCCACGAACGGTTCGCGAGCTGCAGCAAAAGGGCCAGTGCGTCAAGGGCATCCTTATCAACACGGTCATGCTCGGAGCCTTCGTCAAGGCGAAAAAGAAGCAGAAGAAGCTCACCAACACCCGCAAGTCGCAAGGTCTCCCGGAAGGAGGGGTTATCACGTGCGATGNATGTAGGGAAGAGGAAGCAACGATCAGGTGCCCGCCCGCCCGTCGAGGACATCACAGTGGCCATTTCCGACAGGCGTGTAGTTGGCCGAACGGCGGGCGGTAGAGGGGCGGTGGGTGGGCGTTCGGAGCGTATGGGGGTGGGGGTTGGGGAGGGAACACATGCAAGCCAACAAACGCCTCTAGAAAAACAGAGCATACCCTTGCGCGGGAAGGACTCACCCGCTCAGGCCAGCGCAAAGTCGAAAGTAGGAGGCCACTTCGTGCTCTTCCTAACCCTAGCCTGCTTTGCTGCTGGCGCTGCCACGACTTGGACATCGTCGCCGTCTCCCCCGGCCGCTTGCTCTTCTTTCCCGCTGCCTCGAGGTCGCGGGCGTGCTGCTGGCCTAGAGCCGCAAAGGCNAACACATGCAAGCCAACAAACGCCTCTAGAAAAACAGAGCATACCCTTGCGCGGGAAGGACTCACCCGCTCAGGCCAGCGCAAAGTCGAAAGTAGGAGGCCACTTCGTGCTCTTCCTAACCCTAGCCTGCTTTGCTGCTGGCGCTGCCACGACTTGGACATCGTCGCCGTCTCCCCCGGCCGCTTGCACTTCTCCTCCCGCTGCCTCGAGGTCGCGGGCGTGCTGCTGGCCTAGAGCCGCAAAGCGCACCCGTCCGGCTGCGCGTGCCGCCTCCCTCTTGGCGACCTCGTCGCGCGCCAGATCCAGGGCCTTTGCGCTGGGCGCTGCCCTTCGCTTTGGGCGGGTGGACATGTTCGTAGCAGACTGCTGTGTGTGTGTGTGGGTCTGGTGTGGTGGTGGTGGCTGATGTGGGTGCGTTGTTTCGAAGAATGTTGCTTAAATCGAAAAGTTGGCAAAAAATTTGCACAAATCCGGCCGCGGGCCGTAATCTTGAATCGAAATATTTTTTCCTTGTTTCTGGTTCTGGCGAGACTGTCAGGAACGGTCCTCAGAACGATGGCGTAAATCAAAATATATTTCCTTTTTTCAGCTTGTTGTTGGGTCCGAAACTGTCACAAGAAGTAGTGTCATTTTTAGGAGTTCTTTCCGCGCGCGAAGCGCGAGTGCGAAAAAAAAACGGAGCGATAGCGGAGTTTTTTTTTCGCAAAAAAACTGTTTTAGATGGGTCCTTTTTGTTTCCCCGCCTGGGTTCTGCGCACGTTGAATAACACCGCCTGTCAGCCCGACCCCTGAATTAATTACTGTTCTCAAATTGATGTCCGTGTGTGTGTTTTAATTATTAGCATCGACCGCGCTAACCGGCTGACCAATTAAAAGACGTCAGTGCCAGCGGGAAAAAAATCAAGGTCCCTGGAAGGGGGCCAAAATTCGAAAAATGCGCAATGCGCTNCCCAATTTGATGATCCTACACTCCCAAGATCCAACAGTCATCGCGTCAGCAGCTAGATGAATCAAACAAAACAGCAACACATACACTGCCACAGCTCCACGCATGCCCTCGCCCGAACCTAGGAAGCCACTGATGCAAAGAGCGGAGGACAGCAAAAGGGTTATTTCAAGCCCAGCCGAAGCCAGGATATCGTGGTATGCTGCATCTCCCA